GACAAAATGAACTCTCAAGTGCACCACCTTAGATTTTGACAGCAGCAAGGTACCTAAGCATACGTACCTCCTAACCCAGTTGTTGTGCAAAAAATTAATCCTCCTTCGCAGTAACGTGCCTAATCGTATCCATCCTTGCAGCCATTTGTGAACATACCCAAGATGATTAACGAAAAAAAAAGAACGAAAGTCAGACGATTTAGCATTACTAGGACCTTGAAGCTCAACATTATGTAACCCACCACTTTTACACTAATTGTTGTTGCCTAGCCAACCATAGCAAAGAACCATAGGAGCTTACGCTGAATTTACCAGACTACAGTCTGTCATAGATCTCACACAAGCTTCCTTCTTTCTCAAGTACCGTGAGTTTGAGAAGAACCCATAAGTCTGAGAAAGAGCATACTAGTGCAGAGATTGGGGAGCAAAGAAAACATCAGATGCCAGCAGACCACTCCCTCTACTTCACGATCATGTAGGTCTACTTCAACTCTTGCTTTCAAAACCATGTTTAATCTATGACCTAACAACTAAGATTAAGCATATGATTGGATTCAATGACCAACAATCCAACAAATGCAGAATGAGACGGACAACCATTGGATGCAAGGGTTTTAAATTTTTAATATGGACACGTAAACAGAAACTGCTACAGTCACCATATGAATACAACTACATCAACCCGCAGCAAAAACATCTTTATAAGATCAAGAGAGCAAACCTATCTTATTGTGCTGATGCTTGGGGACAAAAAGCAGGTACAAGACTTTGGAGTTATGCATCCGGAAACAGACACCACATTAAGACCTTGAGAGTTGCAACTCAAGAATCAATTGTACCTAAAATGATTTCAGCAACTTCTCAATACTACCGTCGATTGGTGGAAAGTAGAACATTTGACAAGGTACTTCGAGCAGAAATTCTTTACCAGCGCCAGAAACCATTTTTTAATCAATGAACAGGGGAAGATCAGTTGAAACCAGTTATCATAACATTCCAATAAGAGAAACCACCTTAAAAACTACAGAACAAGACTAAGCACCACTACCTTCTTCTTAGAGAGCAGCAGAAGCGTCACTAGAGAATTGTCAAACGAACATATTAAGGCCGGGATTGATGCTCTAACTTTCTAAACAGTATCGTCAATGGATTTGCACCAGGGCTGAGGTTTCAAACAAAAATGAGTATCAGAATAGAGACTTTTACAGTGCTGCTTTGAGAATACCAATCCCTCGTAAGCACATTTAGAGTGGTTTAACGCCATTTGTAGAGGATTGCAACTAGAAAAGAATAAGCGTGTAGAGTCGCCTAGAGTTGCTCACTGCACCATTATACCAAATCAAATCTCTGGTAGTTTTCAGCACAAACTAGCTTCAGAAACCACAACCACCTGACTAGTCAGTTCCAAAATGAAAGGAATCAGACCCCTAAGACCCCTCCCCATCACGATTTTGATTGAGAGTGCTTACTAGAAAAGATTATGAGCAACTCCACATGGCTGAAAAGGAACACAAAGATACTTTTAAGGTCCAATTCTGAAGAACTAAAAGACGAGCAACCGTGGATTAGTAGCGGCAAGGCACGATCATTATCTAGGACCGAAGAGAAATTGAAAAGCGGAGCAAGACCAACCTATGTTACCTCCTCACAGTGGGGTGCAAATTACAAAGCAAATGACAGGTCGGGAGAAAGGAGCAACCGCAACTGAGCAGAGTTCCCAGATTCGGTCCATTAAACTGTCGGAAAGAGACGACAACCAAAAGCAGGATATTGACTCCATGAAACGGATTTAAGGCCCAGTGTTTATCATGCTGAGAGCTGGGATGATAAGTTTTAAGTTCTAGCACCTGTGAAGACTCCTCATATTTGACATGATCTGAGAATCTGCACTAGGGTGAAATCAGCAATCCGAATTATCCTGAAGTCGACGATCTCAATCTGTGCCATTTGTCAATGACTCCTCTCATGCAACCAAAAATCCTGCGTTCAACACCTTTCTGGGACCCGCCACAGCAACAAACCATGCTGATTTTAGAAAACATCATAAAAATAAGCAGTAGATGCGATGATCTTCGATCATATACAGAAATAAGAGGAAAATCTCAACATCTGGTTTACCATTGTAAACATATCTTACTTTTCCCAGAATCAAGCATAACAAATGATCATGTCCAGCCAGCCACTATGCGCCGCCCATTATGACCTTCTACATCATACCCCAAAAGAAAGTATACCTCTGAGTCCCCTTCTGGTCAAAGTTTCCCGGACGGTCCTTGGCATTAAAATAAACTTGTAAAGGTGAGCGAAACAATATTCTGTTCCAACCTTCAGGAGCAAAAGCTATAACCAACACAAAAAATTGATTGATCGTCCCATTGACAAGACACCGAATCACTTGAAAATCGGGAAACTCTGATGCATAGGAATCCCCAGGGCCACTCATGAACTTCGGAACATAATTCAGTGAAATCCGAATCGAAACCCTAGAAGAGCCGGGACAAACGAGGAATTGTTACCTAGTTCTCGTAGAAGGTGAAAATGGCGAGTAAACAATTCAAAATCGGTAGGAAGAGTAACACTGAACTCTATTTGCCTCCACGCCAGGAAGAACATCTAGAGCCTAGAATCCCCTGTGATCGGCGTCGTTTAGGGATCAGTCCTTCCTCGGCACGATCCTATTCCTAGCCAGAAGGAAAAGACAGAGAGGGTGAGCGAATCCGTACTTCATTCCAAACCTAAGAGCAGGACGAAGAAGAAACTGTTACCTATGCTGATTATGCTTCGTCATTTTTCATTTTTGGTGGTACTGTGAAAGTGACCGAAATATGTTCTGTATTTATCAATGAAGAAAGTCGGTTCAGCAGCGGTTTCGTAACACTCACGGTCTTTAATGCCAGCTAGACATGCCAGCTGGATGCTTTTGCCAGCTGAACACGCCACGCGTAAGAAACGCGTTTCACTTTTCTTCGGCCCTTAGTTGACCTGGTCAAATAATTACGAAAAGCCCAATAGTAAAGCCTTCAATTAATCTGGTAGGGCCGGCCCAATAAAACAAGACGTGCTACGATAAAAAAAATGAAATTAAGGAGGGCCTTTCCCTTATCTATAACCAAAAAAAAAAAATTAAGGAGGGCCTTCTGCCAGCTGGCCTAGCCCAAAATAATCTTCTCCCATGAGCTCTGATGAGTCAACGAGTTCATGAATCAATTGGGCCAGCAGCCCAAGCTAAAATAGCTTGAGGAACCAATGAGTAACGAAGTTAAGAAGGCCTGGCCCAAACCAAAACGGCTTTCCATTTGCGATGATCACTGACGATCAATTGATTCAGCTCCACAACAGAATCAAATAATATAACAGTTTGAAAATGGAAGAACATTTCTCACATTATAGAAACTTCACCTTGAGAAATCGCCAGATGGGATAGAAGTCCAAGACACTAGTGCCACAAGAGACGCAATGTCCAGCAATAATCAATGAAAGGGTTTACTCGAGTCTGAAACCCACCCACATGAAGAACTAAATGTTTTACTGAACACTAGGAACATATAGAATGGTTAATTTCAACCCATATCAGAATTGATAATAATGCAATGCAAACTTAAAAGTCTATTGGATTGGTCAACTATAAAACCATAGCAAACCGTTGTGCTTAGAAAGAAGAGATCCACCCAGCACTAGAGCTAACTGGAAATTGGAGCAATGAAAACAAGCTTAAAGACAATCCTCTGAACCCCATTGCCATGCACCACATAACACTGGAGAAAAACTGCAATGTGCAACAAAACAATGCATCTTAAGACATAGATATGTTCAAAATTGACTAAGAACTGGATTTCCAAACATGAACAAGCATCATATTGACTAAAAACTGGATTTCGAAACAAGAACAAGCGTTGAAGCAACCATTTACAGAATTGCGACCCAGTGAACACATACATGGTCATATTTTCTTAGTAGAAAGAAGTATGGTAATGTTAAGCATGATTCAACAAATGAATAAGAAGAAATCAGAATAAGCTTATTATAAGAGTCTAAACTTGACCCCTAAATGGGATCACAGTACAAGTCCTCCCTCCTAAAGAATGTAAGATACTTACACGTCAAGTAAGAAAATTCATCTCAAATAAATTCTTTGAAAACTCTAGTTTAGTGCTTTACCTTTGCACTCAAACCACTGCAATGCCTGGAAGGTGTAATAGACTAGCTGAAGTAATTTACGGTCTCTTATATCCCGGCAGCTTCTTTAGTTTCATAAAATGATAGCAAAGACAAAGTTGAGAATAACCCTGTTATCAGGAACTAATATCAAACAAAGATCAGACGTTCACAAATAACACAGTCTAAACCAGTACCAATGTTCCCAGAGGACAGCCACCAAACTGCAGTTTCTTTGAACTGCCGACCTCAATCAGACAACTTTCCACCAACAAGTATGTCCAGTTAGCCTTTTCTCCGTCAACGGGTTCATAATTCGCTTCTGCAGTGACTCCGTGAGCACAACTAATTAGACAACTAAACACATTGCTATGCCGTATGAAAGCCAGACAAGGTAAAAATGACGACCACCTGTCACTAACTTGAACGTCAGCCACTTGAAATCCCAAGCCAGAAACCCGCAAGTCCCCAACCCAAGTCGAACGGTGGCCATCTCCAGGCTTATCTGGAAATCCGCCATAGACACCCGAAGAAAAACGACGCCGCATCCATATTCTCCGGCTTCTCCAGCAGTTTCAGTGGTCAGCATTCGATCCAGGCTCAAGATTCCACTACCGGACGACTGCCTGGCTATCGGGAACAGATTCTGGAAGGCCGCGGCACTTCATGCTGATGAAGCAATAAAAACCACGTCAGCCAGTCGTAACGGTGCAGAAGGAGTAGTAGTCATCCTGAGGCACTTGGTTAAACTGGTGAATCCATCGACAGAGTGGACGGCCATTTGTTGGAAAAGCTGATGCAGCAAGGTGGAAGCCACGTCTTCATCGTCTAGTAATGTGTGTCCTCGGTTCTACAGCTTCTCAAGCATTCTAAAGAATGGGCTGAATGAAGCCGATTACGGGTCGGGGAAGCCATTATGGGTTACCATTCTAGGGTTCACGGCTGATTATGCTCCTATTCCGGACACTGTTAGCCTCATGGAGGCCACGGCTGGTGATGATGATGGCGCAGTTGAAGCCTGGTTGAACTTGAATGCAAAGGAGATGGCTATCTCTCAACAAGATCCTCACCTCCTTCAATATGCTACTGTTAATCCCAGCATCCGACTATCATGATCCATCTTAACTATATTGTCCCCCAATGTAGTAGTACTTGATAAGGACCTAAAGAACATACCGTCTTTCCCTCATCTTCTGTTTCTGACTGCTTCTGCTGTAACCCATGTACCCCTGTTTCTCTCATTTCTGTTCCTCTATTTCAGCACCATGATTTGCCGATTAAAGACTTCACTTTGTACTATATATATTCATTTGATTAATAATACAAAACTCAACTTTGGCAGTCTGTTCATGGTATGAGGCTTACCTAAATTCAACCGAGTATCGCATTGTTCCTCTGCTCCCGATTCTTTCTTTCTTCATCCCTCACCATGACAACTGAATCGCTTAATTCTTCAACCTCTATTGAGTCCATTCTCTCTTATGATCATTGTCTCTTCCCACCACCCCCTCAAATAGCCCCCCTTGGATGCTCAGCTCGTACCACTCCTTTGCTGTCACAGACTCATCGGCCATGTTGATGATTCTTCTCCGGCTCCTCCTCAATTCCTCAATGGGCATCCGAATGCGACATATTCCACCTGGTATGAATGTGACAAGCTTGTTCTTTCTTGGATTACTGCGTCACTTTCTGAAGCTGTCATGACCAATATTATCAACAAATCAAATGCCTTCGATGTTTGATCTGCTTTGACTCCTATTTATGCATTTGGATACAAGATACAGATTAGACAGCTTCTCAAATCCCTTCAGCATCTGTCTCGTGGTGAGGATGGTATTCACAGAAGACAGTACCTGGATTCTGCAATGTGTGTACAGTTGGATGAAAGAGCCTCCCCATAAACACCACAACAATTTCTCTCGCATCAAATTCCAGGATTCTCCATATACCTCCCTCCTTGACAAAATCCTCGACAGCAGATCTTGCAGAACCACTCTATCGAAAAAGATCATGCAAACGAATACAAAGATAAAAATACATGAAAACAAAATTCACAAAAAAAAATAGATGATTAAACAAAATACAACTTTAGTTAAGAGATCAGACACATACGACATGGAAAAAGCGAGAAGTAAAAGCCCAAAACAGCACCACAGGCTCTTGCAGGAGAATTTGAAGAAATACTCCAGCTCTTACTAATATCTACAAATGGACCTACAAATAATAAATTTGGAACACGTCTTTGCATAGATTCATACTTAACGCAAACCACGAAGACAATATGGGAGGTAACTCGAGTGCAATTTGCAAAGCATCCACATCGTTGATCTTATATTCTACATTAACATGCATTTTTCTACTTAGATCGAACAGCTTTTGGATCAACAATAATATATCTTCCAGGCTAAATGTTGAACTCAACTACATGCAGATTTATTTATTGCTATATTAACTTTCTTTTACGGATTCCTTTCCGGATAAGTAACAGTTGAGACACACTCTATTTTCAGTTCCTCCCAAGGAAATTGAAATGGTAACCCAAAAGTTCTACCAAGTCCTGAATTTCACTCTTGACAAAAATATACACGAAAGAAACACATACCTTTATTCAGCTTCCTCCACCGCATACTCAAGATGCAGAAAACGAATGTGAGAAACAGCACTTTCTTCATTGTTCTCTTTTATCTGGTCCGTCATGCCACCAACCCCCTTATTCTTCCAGTCCAACTCGGTCTTATCATCCCTGCGCACCATTACTCGGCAACCTCATGTGATCCCATCCAAGAAACCTAAATGGAGCCACCAACAAATTAAGAATGAGCGCATCTGCCTCTTTAAATCACCATCAGTATCAAGAGTCTGACGCTCAAAGTGCATCATGAAATGAACTTCCCAAGACTGTACACTCCTTCCCAGGAAACTGTAAGCAAATTGCATATTCAGCCACCACAGAAGTTTCTATGATAACCAATCACAGCAGCCATAGCCCTCTGTTTCATAGCCTAGGGCACCGAGAAGAAAACCCAGCAACATGGTCCCTTTACAAGCACCACGACCCTTTGATGAAAGGAGGACAGGTGGGAACTTACCTTACTTAAGGAGCTTCTAAGAATTCAAGGAATCAGAGAAGATGCGAGCTATGCTTTGGCTTCCTTGTTTTCAACTTGAGAAAAACTGCAATGTGAAGCAAAAAGATCAAGGGCAACTCCACTTCTAGGACACCATTAAGACATACCCAAGAGCAATATAACAGAGGATTAAGGCATAGGTATGGTTCCTTTCAAGACCCATATAGAACTGCCAACAGAGAATTGTCAGAACAACATTTTTAGAGGGAGCTGTGAGAGTGAAGCTCAATAGATAGATACAGTCGAAAACAGCATCTTAAGACAACGGATATGTGAACACCGACTAAAACACAGATTTTCAAACAAGAACAAGCATTGAAGCAACCATTTACAGAGTTTCAGCTTGGGAACTCATGTATAATCATATTTTTTTAGTTGAAAAAGCATAATGATATTTAGCATGATTCAACAAATGAATAAGATTAGATCAGAGGAAGCAGGAAATAAACAAAATAAAAACCTCACATGAGTGCGCAGCATCAAGAGCTTCCTCCTTCTATGAGAAGTCCCAAGCTTGGTACCAAGATGGGATCCCACTTGCAATACCTTCACGCCTGGAGACTCACAAATGCGAGATGCTTACACACCGAATAAGAAAATTGATCTCAGAACAACTGTCTTTCGAAAAATTTGATTTAGTTTTTTTACCTTCGCACTCAAGACCACTGCAATGCCTGACAGTCTCTTCTATCCCAGCAGCTTCCACTACTTCTTAATATATAACAAAAGTCTGCGTGACTCCTAAGTTTGACAAATTGGAGTAGAGCCCTATATTCAGAAGTCCACAATCAACGAGCAATCCCACCATGAAACCAGGTTGTAATCAACAAGTCTACCTAGAAACAAACCTGCGGGCTTCTTGAACTGTCAACCTCAATCAGCCAACTAACCATCAACATGTCCATTATGCCTTCTTTCCATCAACAGGTTAATCATTTGCTTTGGCGGTGAGCTCTCCATGAACTAATTAGACAGCTAAACAGATCGTTACTCAATATGAACATGAGACCAGGCAAAATGACAGGGCCACTTTATCATACTACAGTCTGTCACAGATCTCACACAAGCTTACCTTCTTTCTAAAATGGTTTTGAGAGCACAACCTAGAGGTCCGAGGAAGAGTACAATGCTGCAGAGGAAAAGATCCATAACATGCAGGGGCGAAGACAGCATCAGATCTAACCAGACCACTCCTACTTAACGATCATATAGGTCTACTTCAACTGTTGGTTTCAATGGAGAATGAAATGAGTAAGTTTTTATTTTAGAAGGCTAAACAGATGCATCGACTATAATCATGATATGTATTGTCAAATGGTAAAAAGGAAAAAAACTGATTATATTTTCCTTGTTAGAGTCAGCATTGAGCACTTGATAGAGGAAGTAAGAAACCATAGCTGATGCGGATGAGTACTTTAGTCCAATACCAGGAAGGTTTCTTTACCTCAATCCGAAGAGACTCTACTGAGTTATGACGTTAGAGAAGAAGCAAGATGCAACTGTCTGCTCACCCACTTTAACCAGTGTTGCTCCATTCCCTATAGCTATCACCTCTCTCTAGCAGCCTTCACACCTCCAACAAGCTAGAACAGTCTACTCAAACTTGGGTACAAAGAGAACTGCAGAAATAGAAAAGACTGTCAACACAAGAAACTGCCCTGTTCATACACAGTACTTGTCTACAAGCGAATATACACAAGTTAATATACGGTTTTCCCCCTTATGCTGTAACTTAGAATGTGCTTTCCCCTCGCGTTCACAAACAGGAAATAACAACGAGAAAAGGCATCAAGGCAAACGCCTGGTATGAAATGGAAACATTGGCCGCGATCAACTAATATCAGAAGGACACATGAACCAATTAAATTGAGATTAAGAAACATTGGTTTTAGCACCAACATATTTGCCAAAAGTAATCCCAACTCTGATTCCCTAGCACAGATGAGTAGCACGAATTACTGAAACTGGTCATACCTCTAGCTCCATATTGACTTATGTTCACAGAGGTCCAAGCCAAAAGTCCCACCAAGAAACCAAGCAGAAAGGTTAACCACCTCGAGTGCAGTGCACGAATATACCAGTCATATGTAGTCTTCATTTAAGGTGCATAATCATATCCAGCCTCTTAGTGATCAATACAACGGACAAAGAAAGCTAGCTAGAGCAAGATTTAGACTCTTTTGCAAGCTATTGAAATAAAGAACACATTTCTGCAGAATCGGTATCTTCATGGTCAACATCAATCACCTGACTCCACTCTTGTACGCTACGCAAAGCCATTGGTGATGTTCTCCATTGTCCACTCCAACCATCATGCAAATTCATACGCCTACCATACATCTCACGGAATACAATCTTCCACGAGTTCCTTGATTCTTAAAACCAACACAAATCACAAGCTTAAGCAAAAGCAAGATAGTACACACGAGGAAGGATCGGATTAATGGCTTCATGCAGACATAGCAGCCAAATGTAACACTGTCCCTTATTTGCGTCCCATGGTTTCAAAAATTCCTCATTTTCCTCCCCATCCATGATCCGGGTATTAAGATAAAACCTGATAGATTCTACAACCCCAAGCTGAAATTCAGAAAGGGCAACAAGCGGAAGCAGACATTTAAATATAGAGGTAGGTAAGAACCAGATACTTTAACCATGTTGGATTCAACTACCTACCTGAACCTTTTGCAGGCTTGCTCCGCAGTACTATCAAGAGTCAGAAGCTGAATCTAGCCCAACTTGCTTCGAAACTTAAATGGCCCCTTTCACTTCGATCAAGATAAAGGCATCTGAAATTATGAACACAGGGTTCAGAATTTCCAGTTAGTACGCATGATAACATTACCACCAGTCAGTCCTTCCACGGGACAATCCTACCCATAAAGATAAAAAAGAATAGGGTGAGCGAATCGAAGTTCTATAGCCCAAGAGATTGGATGTGCCTCTACGAGCAAATTCCATAGCTGGCATAAAAATTGATTTTTCTGGCTTCATGCACACACAGCAGCCGAGAATAACTCGGTCCCTCCAATTGCATGTCATGCCATGCGTCTCTGACTACAATTCTTGTTTCCAAAATCTTTCCTCTCCATCCAAGATCTTATAATTTAAGATATAACCTGATTAGATGCCACAACCTCAGTAGCAACAAGCATTCAAATTAGAAAGCCGAATTTGCTTCTAGCAATTTAAAATGGCCCCTTCCACTACTATCAAGATCAAGGCATCTGAAATATTGAACAGACGACCAACCTGGTTAGCTAGTTCAACATCAACTAGCTCCTACCGAAATCAACGAGACATTTCCAAAAGTCCGAGTTGGTAAACCCTGAAAAATAAAATTTAAGAAGCACGACATGGTAAACACAGTATGAGGCTACACAGAAACGTTAAGGCCAACACATGCTTTCAAACCTTCTTCTCCATTACCTTAAATGACAGCAATATACAGAAACGTGTTAAGCCCAATACATCCTCGTACGCACTTTATCTTGTTGAAGATTCGGTACTTGAAGTAGGAGCAAGATATTGGCACTCAAACAGCAGATAATCATAATGAGACTCAAGCTTTGGACTAAATTATTATCACTTGTACGTAACGATCACCTCACCGGGTTTCCAAGACAAGCAACTATTTGGAAGAGTTGCAACATGGGTCATCCAGGATTTCATACGATCGCGAGGAAGTTGTGCCTATTGGAAACAACAAGGAAAAAATCCAACTATCAGGCCATTCCATCCACTAATGAGCTTTCGCAACAGCGGATCACGACAATTTATTGCAGAGGACAGAGTGATAACCGAAGACCAATTTACTCCTTACACAACCCATAAAAAAACTCGGGCAAAACCGGCCGGAAGCATACCTCGGACCGCAGAAGTCGCCGCTTTTCAGAAATACTCGCGCTCAAACCTAATAATAATCCGTAAGAAGAACTTGTAGGATCCACGCGGAAATCTCAACGACTAATTCTCTTGTACTTAGAAGTATGTGGGTAACAGCAAAACAGGCCGGAAGCATACCACGGATCGCAGAAGTGGCCGCCTTCCAGAAGTACTCACGCCAAACCCTAACAATCATCCGTTAGAAGAACTTGTAGGATGCGAGCGGAAATCTCAACAACTAATTGAATTGTACTTGGTAATTATCTGGGTACCAGTAAAACCGGCCGGAAGTGTAGCTCGCACTGCAGAACTCGCCGCCTTTAAGAAATACTCGCGCTCAAACCCTAATGATCACCCGTTTGAAGAACTTGTAGGATCCACGCGGAAACGCCAGCAACTGCTTGGATTGTTGTACTTGGTAATTGTGCGGGTACCAACAATACCAACGGAATCGAACTCTAGATTCCCCCCATAAAGTACGATCTGCAGCGAGCGGACACGAAGAAATCGTTTATGCAGTCCATGGGAAAACTCGATTTCTGCAGAGGAAAAAACTAGAAGATAGGGAACCTAACCTCTTAATCGAAACCCTAAAAATGCAGAACCACACAGAGATCAACCGTAATCCGATCTTGTTCAAGGCTGCTTGGCGGCAACGGTAACGAATAATGGAGGGAACTGGATGTCTCGTCCCTATTTATTAATGCAGAAAGGCGGTTTGAAGTCGGTTCAGTTGTACGCGTTAATTGCCAGCTGTACTCACTATTTGCCAGTTGGACACGCCAGTTAGACGCGTCATACTTTATTTGCTCTATTGTGCCCTGCCAGCTGGATTAATTCCCCTTTTTTATTTTTATTTTTATTTTCTCTCGCCAGCTGGATCCGTAGTAAAAGCGTGTGGTTGGACCTAGTCAAACATTTGGAAAAAGCCCAATTTCACTGCCATCGCCAGCCCAATTAGCCCACCCTGAATAAATACCACACGCAAATGTTTTACTAGGCCCAAACCACTCCTTAATTGATAGATCCTTGCGTAGTGGGGACCCGTAAAAAAAATTTGCTAGATCCTTGACCTAGAGTTCAGCTATCCACGTCCTCCCCAATTGTATTGGTTTGGGCCAATAATCTGAACTCTCGGGCCTTGCTTAGTTCAATTACCAAACCAGGTCCATCAATTGTTCAGCCCAATATATTTCCGAACCCGAACCACAACCCGCTCCCCGACCGGCGGTCACTATATTCGAAGTCCCACCTAGCAAACTACCAGACTGCAAAAACAAAAGCGGCAAAAATGGCATCCAAATCCACCGCAGCAGCCACCGCCAGAGATGCCCGGAGGAGAAAAATTGTCGAGCGAGGCGCCGACCGATTAGCTCTCATCGCCGGTCGGATCCCCTCTCTTCCGTCCGAATCTTCCCCCACTGACTCATCTCACCAGTCGGATTCCAAGCATCTACTTTCCGATGGAGCCACCGTCGGCGAACCAGTGTCTCAGCCGCCGAATACTCTTCCGAACCAAATCGAACAACCGCAGCTCCAGAAAACAACTGGTACGGCTCTGTCTATCTGAAAATTTTCAGTAATGGACTGATTTTACTGAGTTTTTCTTCTTGACCTAGAAAATCTTTAAAAAAAAAAACTCTTACGGCGATTTTGCAGATTCGGTTAGCTGTAAGGACGAAGCCTCCGGTAGGGCAGTACCGGAACAAGATCTCACCGCCGTTGATTCCGCCAGAGGTCAAGCGGGGAGCATTTTAGACCGTCCTGTTTCGGATGAAATTAGCGACCGATTGGATCAGAATCCGACCGCCATGGGAGCCGCTTCTGGCACAGAGCAACTCCCGTCAGAGAGGAGTTTCGATGAGTCCAAGTCAGATAAGTTCTGGCATCACAGCGTCAGAAAGAACCAGAGTTGTCTGTTCAGTGGCTATCGCCATTCTAGTCGTCTCATCGTCTCTAGGATTGCCTCTCCTAGGGAACGACATAGTGAAGGGAATTCTGAGCTTCAGGCCCCTTTACCTGCTGCTGGTAACCAATGTTACAATCGTGCTTGCCGCAATCCTTTCCAACAACAACCAGAGAGGTTCAGCAATGGTCGATGATGGGGCAGCCGGACTCGAATTGCCATCCAGTGGAAGCTACGATTGGGCTGCACAGGCAAGTAAGGCGTTAGAGATAAGTTTCGTGGTGAAGAAAGCAGTCGAAGCCTTGCTGATGGATGTCAGCGTTTATGCAATCATTGTTGTTTGTGCTTTCTGCCTTCTCCGGTGAACGCACAACCACAACGAATCGCCTCTTGTTGTTGTTCTTGATATATATCGAATGAAGTAAAGCACATTTTCATCTATTTTTCGATTGTAATGAAGTAAATGCATGCAATTTCCATCTATAAACTTTGAGCGTGGACTCATCACAAACTTTGTAAAGGATGGCAAAAGAAGAAGAACAAGGAAGTAAAATCAGATTCGAATAGAAGATTATGGTGGGAATGGGATACTTGCAATACAGATATGATTGCGGTAATCAAACCAGTTTTGTATTTGCACACAGCTGCAGATTAAGAATGTTCCAACGAGATTCACGCAAAAAGGGAAACCAAGATCAAACTGGACGAAGCAGTTACCGAGTGCTGGATCTATCATTCCGAGCAAGAAGTTTAAGAACATCAACCTCAATCATTGCTGCATCACCATATTTGCTAATGGAGCGGACCACCTTAATAGCCACGAATTCCCAAGTATTCCCAGCATTTTTAGAACTTGGCCGAAGCCTGCCTAAAACAGCAGCATCTGCCTGAATTCCGAAAGCACAATCATAGATCATGCGTAATACCAAGCTCTTGGCATGCTAACCGTCGATTAACTGAAGCCTGATAGAGAGGATTATTTGCCAGAGAAGAGGTGGAACATCGAAACAATTACTCTTGTGGGAATGGAATCAACGGCGTCGTTTTGTAAAAGAAATTTGGTGGAGCCGCCAGCGGGAAACTAACTCCTGGTTACAGTTGATGGAGGCGCCAGCGAGCCCATGGGCCATTGTACATCTGAGCCTTTTGGGCTTACACTGGTCGTGCCGCTGACAAATGGATTTTAGTCCATCTACATCCATGAAATAGCAATTCTATTTCATATGTGGTGCCTATTGCCACATTAGCCACTTTTTTCATTTCACTACAAATCACTTTCATTTCCTCTACATCAATGAAATCCATTATCTATTTCATAGTGGGCCCACAAAACAAAAATACACTCTCTCACAACTCACAAAATATAATAGAAATGAAGGAAAAAAATAGCATAAACGTGGGTGGAGCCCACTCTTGCTCTTCCATTTGGTATTTCATTAAGTGGAATATCCCACTTTATGAAATAGGGGCTACAACAATGGAAGGGGAAATGAAAGTGCCATGTAGGATATGAAATAGCAATATGACAGCCGTTGTGGATGCTCTTAGAAGTCAGACAGGAAAATTGGGCCTCGCGCCTCCACCGAACTTTATGACGTGGCATTTATGTGTCAATGACGTGGCATTTATGACGTGTAAAAGTCAACAAAATTTTGACCTCCACCCGATAAATCGTTATCTATAACAATCAACAAAATTATCAAGATACAAATGACTCAAAGTATCATAACATGGGATAGAAATGAAATATTGAAAAGAATAGGACGCAAATGACATTTTTTAGTAATTCGGATGTTGTAGTGGTATTATTATTAGCCCTGTAACTAATTTCTAACAAACTATAACCAATCATTAAAATAACTAATTAAGCAACTAGGATGAAAATATATTTAATGTTAGATGACCATCTTTACATGCCTTTGGTTTATCGTTTCTCACAAACTGAAGTAGTAGGCCTTGTGCTTTCATCATTATGGATTCGGATTAAAGATATCTACTCTATCTTTTGGGAAGCTCGAAGACTGGTAAGTGTTGGCGGGAATTATGCTGAAGGCGGAAAAGTTGGAAATCATTTGAAGGAAATCAATCAAGACCCAGTTTCCTTGTCTAGAAACTTACCCCTTCTGCATCTATTCAAAGGCAACGGTCACAAGGTCTCAAGGCTATATATTCCCTCTCGGTGTTCCATTTTGATTACTTTTGTAAGGGGCGGTACAGGGCTTTTTGCATCAGTGGGTTAATCTTAACAGAGGAAGAGGGTCTGTTAGATTGACGGTGTAACGGGTCTGGAGTTGGGATCTGGGCAGAAGTTTTTGTTCTTCGTTTTCAGTGTTCTTTGAGTCTGCAGCTTGTGTCTTTTTGCTTGATAGGAAAATCTCAAATAAAATCAGAGTCTCCTAGAACTCAGTGTGGTACTGAGTCTAGGACGAGGACTGACCCGGTAGTTTGGGGAACCTCGTTAAAATTCCTTGTGTTGTTTCCAGCTTTCTTTTTACTCGGTTCTTCTGCATTTCAGTTCTGGTAAGATTGCTCTGTTTCTGATCTTGTCCTCTACAGAGAAGGAGAAGACGTGAATCAGAGGTGGTCTGCTGGGCTCGGGTTCTGGGCTTAAGTGTTAGGCTTTATTGGTTCATTGGTTGGACAGATCTGTCTGTTCTTACCTTGGGCCCATTCAGCTTTAAGCCCAGTTACTCATATCAAGAGACACGAAGATTTCCATCTGATCAACATCTTTCGTGTCTCTCTCCCCCTTTCTTCCCTTACGATCCAAATTCCCAATTTCTCAAGAACCCTAAAATTGTTCGTCATTTGCAGGTTAACATTGGTATCAGAGCTCGGGTCTTGACGAAGGTCATTCCTGCCAAGACAAAGATCCTATGGCGTCGAGTTCCTTTGGGCAGTCAGCACTAAATCATCCTCCTGTGTTCACTGGGGCTAACTATACAGCATGGAAGAAGCGCATGAAACAGTTCATGTGGGGGGTCGATGAGGAATTATGGTTAATCGTCCAGAACGGCCCGATTCCGATGAATGCTGATGAGCAGCATCTGTGGTCTGCCGCGCAGAAGAAAAGTGCGCAACTCAATCAGCGAGCCATGCATGTTCTTCAGTCAGCAATGAATCCCGATGAAGCAGACCAGGTTGAAAATTGCGAGACAGCCAGAGAAATCTGGGCAACTCTTGAAGGTACGTATGAAGGTACTTCGAACATTAAAGAGTCTAGGATAGATCTTCTTGTTCATGAGTACGAAATTTTTACCATGGTTAATAATGAATCTATCCATGAAATGTACTCTCGGTTCACTGTGCTTATTAACAAGCTAAAGGGTCTAGGTCGATCATTTCAAATTAAAGATTTAAACCGTAAGATTCTTCGATCCTTACCAAAAGAATGGCTGCCAAAACGTACCGCTATCGAAGAGGCCAAAAACCTTGCTACCTTACCTATAAATGAACTAATAGGGTCGTTATTGAGTCACGAGCATGTCATTAAGCAAGTTTTTCAGGATGATAAAAAACGTAAGAAAACTCTGGCATTCTCTTCAAATGTTTTGGAATATGATTCTGACAGTGAAGTGGCTAGTGATTTTGAAAAGGAATTTGCCCTGGTTAGTAAAAGATTCCATCGTATGCTGAAATACAAGAATGATCAAAAACGTCGTTCGGATGAGTCTCGATTTTTCGCTAATGATCGTTTTAAGAATGTTTCCAATGAAAGGCTGCCTTACCAGCAGACCAGAGTGTTAGAAACAGGAAATACAGATCGAGAATTACAAGCATGTTATAAGTGCGGGAAGCAAGGGCACATAAGAGAAAATTGTCCGCAAACATTAAAGGCTAAAGAACGTGCAATGAAAGCATCCTGGAGCGACTACGAGTCAGAACCTGAAAATGAACAGTGGGATGAAGAAGCTTTCATGGCATTCAAGACGGAGGAAACGGTTCTATCTAATGATCAGGTGACAGACAAGTTCTCTACAAATGATCACCTCTGGTATCTCGATAGTGGATGTTCTCACCATATGTCTGGTAAGAAAGAACTTTTTTCTACTCTTCAATTTAAGCGAGGAGGAAAGGTTGTATTTGGTGATGATAGTTCTGGCATCATAATAGGAACTGGAACCATTGGAAAACAGCCTCATCCAATGATTCATAATGTTCTGCTAGTAGAAGGGTTAAGGCATAATTTACTTTCAATAAGTCAATTATGTGGAAATGGTCATAAAGTCTCTTTTGAAGCATCTCGTTGTGTAGTTGAACGTGAGAATGATGGTAAAGTTATTTTTGTAGGTACTAGACAGAATAACATGTACACCATCAATCTGCGTAATCTAGATGCCTTTAATGAGTATTGTTTTGTTGCGTCTTTTCAACAGGAGCTCTTGTGGCATAGAAAACTTGGACATGTTGGCTTATCTAAGCTAGCAGCTCTGTCCAAGTTAAACCTAGTAAGAGGAATTCCTGTTTTAAAAGACAAAGCAAATTTCTTCTGTGAGACCTGTGTTTCTGGTAAACAAACTCGCAAATCTTTCAAACCAAAACCTGACATTACCTCAAACTCTATGTTTGAACTAATTCATATGGACCTATTCGGTCCATGTAATGTCACAAGCTTGGGTGGAAAGAATTATGTGTTTGTTCTTGTTGACGACTACTCTAGGTATACGTGGGTCTATTTCCTTGCTAATAAAAATGAAACCTTTGAAAAGTTCAAAATTTTCTCCACTTTGTATGCTGGTCGCATTAAGGTTGTTAAAAGTGACAATGGGGGGGAGTTTATTGTTGATGAGTTTGATACTTATTGCAATGATACTGGGATCTCCCATATTTTCTCGGCACCTCGAACCCCACAACAAAATGGGGTGGTAGAGCGCAAAAATCGCACTCTTATCGAATGTGCTCGAACTCTGCTACTTGAATATAACTTGCCTAAGCATTTTTGGGCTGAAGCAGTAAGTACAGCTTGCTATGTCATAAACCGAGTCATTGTTAGAAAGACCTTGAACAAGACACCATATGAGATATTCAAAAATAAAACTCCTAATATCTCATACTTCCATCCTTTCGGATGTCCGTGTTTTGTTCTCAATACTAGGGATCATCTGGGTAAATTTGATTCCAAATCTGATCCTGCAGTATTTTTAGGGTATTCAGTGAAGGGTCAAGCATTTCGTATTTTTAACAAAAGGACACGAAAGGTTGAGGAGTCGGTACATGTTAAATTTAATGATGCTTCTGTCTCCTCAGAACAAAGCATCACTGCTACTTATTTACATATAGCAAGAGGAAAAGGGAAAGGTAAAAAGATAAAGTTGGGAACAAGAACGATTTGCAGTTTTGGGGTTTTGGTTTTGGTTTTTGTCCCTATTTCCTATCTCCTTAACCAGCCAACCGTAAGGACATTTTTCGTAGGATTCCTCATCAGCTTGATTTGGTAGTTAGCCAGAGAGCTAATGCAAGACATGGGTACAGGTCATCGAAAAGATTATAGTATTTAAAAATAAGATCATTCTTCTATCATGAAAGAGCTGCTAATTATTGTTGGCAAAATATCATTTCTA